TTTGAAGTAGAGAGTTGGATTAGAGAATTTATCTATCAAATCCCCTAATCCTTTGATACATGTCCCAAACACGTGAAAGGTTATGGGGGAAAAATATAAAAGTAAATGCCAAAAAAAAAAAAGCACCTTTTAAAATTGCCAACACTCATTTTCCAGAGATAAAACTTTATTTAAGGCATCAAGCAATATACTGAAAGAAGTGAGTCATGCACAAGTAATGTCCTTATTTCCATAATTGTACATTTGATACTCTCTGCCCTCTTAACAAAGGGGTATAGTGAGCAAAGATGAGAAGCACACAGCTTTTATACATAACCATATCAATATAAGTGTTTAAGAAAGTCCTTAAATTTTGTTTTCCTTCTTTAAAAGGAATTTCGGTTTTATTTCAGAAAACCAAAACAAACTAGTTCTTCTACTGAGGATGAAATTTCTCTCCAGAGTTATTTATGAAATAATACAGCTGCCTTTCTCCTTAAAAGGATTCTTGTCTTCTGGAATTCCTTTCACCAGAGGATCCTCTCCAGAACGTTCTTCAATGTAGTTCTTTATTTCTTCAGAACATTTAGACACCTTAAGGAAAAAAAAAAAAGAATGAATTAGATCAGGATTGTCTACACTTCATTACCACCCGTTAGTGAAATTAATATAATTGAGTACAGCTAGCATTTTATTTTATTTTATTTTTTTAAAGATTTTTATTTATTTATTTGAGAGAGAGAGAGCACATGAGAGGGGGGAGGGTCGGGAGGGTCAGAGGGAGAAGCAGACTCCCTGCCGAGCAGGGAGCCCGATGCGGGACTCGATCCCGGGACTCCAGGATCATGACCTGAGCCGAAGGCAGTCGCTTAACCAACTGAGCCACCCAGGCGCCCCAGCTAGCATTTTAAAAAATGAAATAGTATAAAAATAGTAGCGCAAAGCATGTATAATATATACGCTATATACGAATGACACAATCTACGTTAAAATATATTTCTCACTATGGTGAGGGTCAGAAAGTTTGAAAGTCATTGTATTAAACAGACCATCCCCAGCAATTTCTATCCACTGTGCCTCATATGATTTCTTTCCCCTGCTAAAATACAATTACGATGTATTCATAGTATTTTATGAACTAAAACATACCACATTTTCAATTTCCCATGCTAATGAACAGGTGCAGTAAGAGATAATCCCCAAATGTTTTGGGCTGTGTCCTGCCAAAATTCTCACTTATCATGGGTGTGTGCCATGTTCCGCAATTTTACAAAATGATAGAAACACTGGAGAATGTCTGATGCTGGGGAGGTTGAGGTTGCCCAATCATGCCATTTGTATCTCTATTTGGAATTCCTTCCCATTGCTTGAGGGCAATGATCATAACTAAAGATTTATCTGAGGTTTATTAGGTTTATCCGAGATTCTCGTGTTTATATAATTAGTTGAAACTTTTTCTGCAATGGAGAAAGGATTGAGTAGTTTTTTTCCAAAACTCTATCCTTCAGAGACAGATTGCAAGAGCGAATTTAAAAAAGAAAAAGGAATAAAAAAGGAAAAAAAAAAGGATTAGTGTCTTAATGAAGGCCTATTGCTAAGAAGAAATTAGAAATAAAAATTACAGAAGCTCCAACAAACTAATAGAGACCTCTTAACCCTGGGAAATTGTTCCCATTGAATTTATAATCTAGACTAGTAATCTTCAAATTGTTTTAATGGTGATCACAAAAACATGTTTGCATATGTATCCCAAAATGTATATAACTATGTAATAATATGTAATTATTTACTTATAAATAAGTACAGATGCTGTGTTATACTTAATGTGTAATTATAAAACATAAGCTGGAAACTGTCAAAAAATGAGATTTAAAGTAGAAATTTTAATATTTTACACCCATAACCCACATACTTTTTGCACACAATGTGAAGACCACTGTTCTAAAATTTAGAACTAGGTGATGGAGTTATATGACTTAAAATGTGGTGAAATAAAAATCTTTTCAAGTACCATTCTCTTGGGTAACAATTGTTGTTATTTGTTGCTGACATTTATAGTGCATGCATTTTATGTGAATTTTCAGAAGTACAGATAAAAGTAACCATAACCTGGGGTCTGTCTCCTCAGAGATATGTGTGGATAAGATTAGAGTTCCCCCAAATTGTATCTGTTCTTATAGAGGCTTCTTCATTAGGTTTCCAAAGAGATTTGTAACCTCCAAAAGTGAACAGTTGCTCCTCTGAGCATTTCCTTCCATGATCAAGAAGATATGTTTGAACAACAATTAGCTGGAGCCAGAATTCAGCCTGTGGATTCTGTGTCCTTGGCCTGAGCAGAGCACACAGCTCAGACATGAGCAATTTATTGACAGAATAATGAACTGGGCATCAGAACACATGTGTTTTAGTACACACCCTTATCATTATCTCTGAGGTCTTAAATAAGGAGGTACTTAGCCTCCTCGGGATTCAAGTTTTTTATTCTTAAAAATGAGAGCACTGAATGATCTCTAAGAGCCATAATGGTTGTAGAGCACTAAAACTCTATAAATCGAAGTGTGTGATAACATATGTTTGAATATTATTATTAGGATTTTAGATGCCTCTCCTTGTATCCCCTAAGTTTTCTCTCCCTTTGACATACACTTGGAGTTGGAAAACTGATCGAGCAGGGGGCAGGGTGTGTCCTAAGGAGTGGAGGTGGGCAGTTGGCAGGGAGGAACGGCTCGTGAATGATACTTTCAATTTCTACACAGTCAGCTGCATCCAGGCCCCTGCCCCATTTCTAATATGAAGCTTAAAATACCTAGAAGACATTTGTCTCTTTTTTCTCCTATAAGTTCTGCACACTCTGGTACTAGGATATTTTAACAGTGCTATACTTCAGTCTATGCAACTCTGTTTAATATGTAACCTCTAAGATGTACTGCATGAAAAAATCTAAGTGACCAGGGGCGCCTGGGTGGCTCAGTCGTTAAGCGTCTGCCTTCGGCTCAGGTCATGGTCCCAGGGTCCTGGGATCGAGCCCCACATAAGGCTCCCTGCTCTGCGGGAAGCCTGCTTCTCCCTCTGCCCCTCCCCCTGCTTGTGTTCCCTCTCTTGCTGTGTCTCTCTCTGTCAAATAAATAAATAAAAAATCTTAAAAAAAAAAAAATCTAAGTGGCCAACAAAGACTGCACGTTGCCATCCACAAAATGGGTCCCTTAAAGTTTCAAGAAACTACCCTATTCTTTGGGTCCCACAGCTTTGTTTATTCCTTTAAACACAGCAGTATTTTTAAAGCTACAAAAATTTTCAACATGGATAGAAACAACTTCGCACTCCAAAATCTAGGAACAATAGGGATTTGGAAGTGAAAGATTAAATTTCAGAAAAAGAAACATGTAAAGAGTAAAACTCAAAAACACCTGCATTTTCCAAGTATCATTCAAAATGTTCATCCTGAGTAACAGGACTCTGTCATGAATAGATTTGCCATAACTAGGGCAGGAAAGTAAAGGAGCTTATTTACCATACCTGTTTAATTGCCATTTTTTAATTTTATTTTTTCTTATTTTTTATAGTATTAAACCATGGAGAAATGAAATTAGTTTATATTTTTCTTGCTGTGGAAAAGGACTAGATAATTTCCTTTAAAAAATATCCAAAAAACCTATTCCCGGACTATAGGTTGCCTGACTGAGGAAAAAAGGAAGAAATGCATGCTCAAGTTACCAGTAAGAAGTCAAAAGTACAAAATCTCCAACACATTTCAGTGGAGACTTCTGAACACCGAGACTTTTGTTCTCACTGAATTTGTAATCCACTTCAGTGGTCTCTAAAATTTTTAATCATGATCGCTAAAAAGAATTTTCATATGCACCTCAGTATATGTATAATTATTTATAAATAAATGCAGATACTACTGTATTAGTTAACTGTGCGTACTTATAAAACAAAGTGAAAAGTATAAAGGTATGAGAGTTACAAATAAATAAAAATAGAAATTGTAATGTTTTGTTCCCAAGCCCCAGTGAGCTGTTCATTGCATACCTCTGGAGAGGCCTGGTGAAATTCAAAATTATGTAATTCAAATTACCTAAATTGTGATGAATTAAATAGTGATTAAAAAACACTAAAATACCATTCTGTCCCGTTATGAAAGAGATCAAGGAACTAAATAGCCATCTGCCTTTTGCCTACAATTTGAGTTTTTAAAACCAAGTAACAGCAGGCAGATTTTTTTGTCCATTTCCCCAATCCTAGGCTCGGATGGTGTGACATTTGGCTTTAAATTACTCAGCGGACCCTTTCTCTCCTTTACCTCCTATGATTTCCCCACATCAACTGGCAGTTTCCCAGGTACCACCAAAGCCCTACTTCAAGAGGAGCTGGGGGGGGGGGGCGGGTAGAGAGGGAGAAAACAAAAACCAAAAAACCAAAGCCCAGAAAAGCTGTCCTGTTTCACTGTAACAAACCAGGAAAAACTGCCCGTGGTTCATTTCAGAGAAGGAAATATTCTGGGACAGCCAATTTACCTGTTGCCTCTGCAACTTCACTTCTTTGCGAAGTTGCTCAACTTCCAACTTCAGCTTTTCCTTTTCTGGCAAATCTTCGATGTGAAGGGCCGGCATTTTCGCCCCAGAACCGAGCCCGGGGACAGCTCTGGAAGTGGACAGGCTGGGAGCGCGGCACACCAGGGCGCACCCCGCCCGCCGGCCGGCGCTGGACGGGACCGCCTCCCCGCCGCGCTCCCCAGGGCCCCGAGAGCTCGGCTGCGTGCCGGGCGTCCGCTCACGCCGGCCCTGCCCCGCGCCCTAGGCTCTTTCTCCGGCCTGCACGACCGCGGGAGGCCTGCCCCAGCGAGCCGGGGAGGGTTGAGTCGAGAGGGAGCCCGAGAAGCTGGGCGCTGCCGGAGCTCCGGGCGGGACGCTGGCCCCCTGCCGGCTCCCGAACCGGCCACACCCGCGGGGGACCCGCCAGGGCTGCGGGCCCGACAGTTGGGGTTGCGCTAGCCCACTTTCCTGGAGAAACAACTAAAGTTTTACTTTTTGTTCCTTTTTTTTTTTTTTCCCGTTCCCAAGTCACATCCGGGTTTTGTTTGTGAAGAAAAGGAGGACACTACCCAGCAGGAAATAACGGCCCTTCACCTCTCCAAGTTTCAAAAATATACAGCATGTTACTTTTCCCCGGTTACACACGGATTGTGGGAAATGTGAACGCTTAAGAAAAGGCCCAAGAGGAAAATGAAACAGAGCTGTAATCTCAGAAACACCCACCACGTCTGTTGATGTATGTCCGTCCAGTCTGTTAAATGCCTGAAACATCTTAACACATTTGGGGATCAAGGGGGGCATCGGGATGTGACTATTGTGTACAATTTGCAGGGCCATTTTCTGACATTAACAAACTGCATCCTGCACAGCAGAGTTCTTATTCTTTCTTCAGGGGAATGTTCTGTAATGATTTGGAGGATGCACGGATGATACTAGAGAAGACAGAAGCAGGAACCAAAGTTCTTACCAGAAAGTGCTTCTCCACTCCCCATCAACCAAGGTTTGGGTGACTGTTGACACCAAGGGTTATGAATTCCTGGCTCCTGCAACTTCCTGGATGTAGGCATTGGTTTCTCCTGGATTCACTCAGCATTGGTTTCTCCACTAGCTGGAAAGCAGGATTCATCTTGCTGCCATTTTGTAAAGCCAGGAAAAGTGTCGGATGTGACACGTCTACCTGCAATATAAAGTTTCACTCTGACTATAAACTATGATCCTTAATAGACTAGAAGAAAAATAACTCACGGAGGTTAGAAACCTTCCCAAGCAGTCAGATATTTCTCTCTTTGGAGATGACCTCCTGCCTACAGAGTCAAATTCAAGTTAAGAGTGGTGGCCTGAACTGTGGATTTCAGGTACCTGAACTTAGACACCCCAAGCCACTCCCTATTTTGTAAGCACAGGTTTTTGTTGGTTCCTAATTTCTTTCTAGGTTCCACCGGCTTATCCTCAGTGAATATATTGGAAGGAGAAGAACAATGAGCTACGTGGTGAGTACTCTGGGTCTAGTCCCAGCTCTGCCACTGGCTATCACTGGAAGTTTTTTCTGGATTTTGGTTTTCTAATTTATAAAATAGATGGGGTGATGGGGCAGGGGAATGGCGAATTAGCTAAGGTATGTTTTGTTTCTAATTGCGTTTATGCATCCACATCTGATAAATCGCTTTCACAAAGGAAACTGTTTAGGAGGTTCTTTTTCTGTATTTGAAATACCACACATTCCAGGATCTCCCAGGCTCAAAAAAGTTAAATCAGCTGCCAGAGTTTTCCCCTGTTAGTATGCGGTGAGCCAAGACAAAAAACTCACATCTGTCTCCAAAAGCAATTCATATTTTTTGATTCCCCATTGCTCAAATTTAAAAGGTTGGTTAAAAATAAATAAGTTAGTGAAAGTAGTTAACATCACCCAAATTAAATAAATTCAGTGCCCATATTAAATAAGCTGGTTAAGTAACTTAATGTATGTCTGTTCCAAATCATAAAAATAGAATTATTTTGGCCTGGAAATTTCTTCTGTATGAAATCATCTAGTTGCATGCAGGGATAAACAGTTATAAATCTGTAGTGGTTATGTAAATTCTTCCCCAGTATTATGAGACTTAAATTGGAGATGAAATACATATTGGTGTTTTGTTTTGTTTTGTTTTTTAGTTTTTACTCTTACAAAATAATGCACGGTGCTAATACCATATTAAGTAAACTGATTAAAGTGAATTGGGAAATGCTGAAATCCTCATTCTGCAAAATGTCTTCTTGTTGTTGTTTGGTTTTAAATGGTAAAATGATGGGAACACTTTTCTTTTTAGAAGAGCATGTAGCCCCCATCCCTAAGCATGGAATTTACCTCTAAGAGAGCAACCATGGTAAACAATTTCTTGTGTATTCTCACAGAAATGTTCTATTAACAAACCTTTTTGGATAAACAAAGTTTAAAATCCATATGAGTTATATCCAAATGTCATGTTAGCTTTTTACTTATATTTTACATATTACCTTCAATAAAACTTGTTTTACAAAATAGTATGTGTACAAACCACTCTGCAATGAAAATAAAAAGTATAATCAAAAAATAACTTTTATTAGCCCACTGTCTTTTGACAAATGTTTTAAAGAAATCTGCTTAAGAAACCTAACCGTGTGGTTATTTCTACTTTTAAAGTATAAAAGAGCAAAGACCATGAAATATTTACCTTGACATGCAACCAAAAAAAAAAAAAAAAAAGGAAAAACAATTCTTTGGCTATTTTTCTTATGTATTAAGTATGTTGTTAAAAAGTCCATATAAAAGAAAATGTATAAGGAAATATCAAGAGCAGTTATATTGGAGTTGACTTAATGCTAGGTTGAACTCAAAAAGACCAGGTTCTGGTTTTACTTTATCTTGTGATTTTTTGCAAGACATAGATACTCTCTGCCTTTTTTTGTTGGTGGAAATAAATTAGGTTATTTCCCAAATTCTGCTCTTCTAGAATTTATAAAGTTAATGGTGACTGTTTAGGCTATTAAAATGATGGTTTCTAAGGAACATATTTAACACATCTTTGATGCACTCAGTTCACTTTGTTTTAGTTCAATTTATTGTAAAAATCACATGGAACATTTCATAAACTCACCCATTTCATGTAACTATGTGCATAAGCTTCCTTTTCTAGATGGAGATATGTGAAGTTATAGGATGACCTATGTCTAATGCTCTGATCATCTTAACAGCTACTTACAATTCATATCAAAATGATTTATCAATTCTGCTTTTACAAGACTTTAATTTCCATTGTAATTGGTCATTCTTGTTACTCAGTTTACTCTTTTCCTCATGTTAATACATTCTTTTAGGAATTTAGGAAGTTTGATACTAGCCTTGTTTTGAAATTTGGCTAAAATCAAATCAATTCAAATTAAAATAGTAGTGTAAGTTTTTTTTTTTCTTGCTAAAGCTTAAACTCATCTATGTGTACAAAATACCCACAAGGTGCAAGTATTTCAAATGATATTTTACAGTAAGTGTATATGCTTAACCCATTCTCATTACTGGTACCAGGAAGTTTCGTGGATGAACCAAAGGTTAAGGCTATGCCTAGAGTATTTTTTGTTTCCCTGTAGTCGTACCGCATTCCTTTTAACCTAGTAATCCATGGCCCTGAAATAACTTCTGGAAAAAAAAAATCACTCACTGTTTGTAGCTGTGTAGACTGTAGGGTAGTCATGATCTCACATCCTTTTTCCTAGACTATCTTCTCTTTACTTCCTTTCTATGATTTTTATCTTATTCCAACTCCTGCAGACAGTCTGTATTTTTGAGCAACAAGAATGTTACCCTCCTGTTGATTTATTCCTTAGTTAAGCTAATTAGAATTCTGAATTCTCCAAAATAAAAAGTACTATCCTTTCCTGCTTTTAATTGAACACTTATTAAGGCAATTCAATTGTAGAGACAATTTATGAGTTGGTATGGCAGTTTCAAAGATGAACAGAGCTTCTGGCTTGGGAAATTTACAATACAGAATCGAGAGTAAGACAACCATACAGACTATAATAAAAGAAAGCAAAGCAATGTTAAATGAGTTAAAAGATTTATAGAATACTCTTGGGATGGAGTGAGGGACAGAGGAGATAGTTTATAGTGAGCCTCAGAGAAGGAGTAGGATTTCAAAAGGCTGAAATGAGTTAGAGTGGAGGGATATTTCAGGTGGAGAGATCAGTCTGACTAAACTGCAGAAGGTGGGGAAATGGGGTGTCATGTCAGGGATTAAATACTTAAGTTTGTTGACTACAGGAAGTTTCCAGGTTTTATTATAAGAGAGGACATTTATTAGGTTTTTATCTATATCTGTTCTAAGTGATTTTTAAATTTTCATATAAGAATCCATTCTATTCCATTTTATATGTGAAAAAAAAAAAAACCCTGCTGTTCAGAGAGTTGAAGTAGAAAGTGGACAAACCAGGGTTTTAACTTAGAATCATCTGCCTCCCCAATCTATTTCCAGTGTTAGATAAAAGCTAGAGATGTTGGTTAAGACCATACATATTACTAAATGCCATAGCCAAGACTCTAATATTTTTTTAATCAGGGGAAAAAAGATAAAAGGAATACATAATAAACACTCAATTGCACATAGAAATACCCTTGAGACAGACCACCATTAAACAAATAAACAAGTGAAGTGTATAGTATGCTAGATAGTGATGGGTGCTATGGAAGACAAGAGAGTGGAACAGGGAGATAGGAAAGGCTGAGGGGGTTGTTGGGGAGGAGTTTTGTAATTTTAAACAAGGGAAGAGAGTGTCTCCTCAGGAAAAAGATAAACTCCAATAGTGTATCCTGGAATCTCCTAATACCCAAAGCATATCTGATATGTGGTAGAGTGTGGTGTTAACCATTCAGCCAGAGATCCAGAGTCGGGACCTGAGAAACCTGCCAACTCATTTCTCTAAACCTGGATTTCCTCCATTTCAAAATGAAGGGGTTGGACGAGGCTCAGTAGATCTTTATTGAGCATTTACTACGGTCAGAGTGGAAAGGACTGTGCTAGGAGCTAAACTTGGGACCTCCGTGAGATTCCCTTCCAGACCAAATAATAGACACTTCTTGTTTTTAAAAAGGATGACAATCAGTTAACATTTCCTTGTATTCTGATCACTGACATATCCAAAAATAGCACTGTAAATGTGAGATAGCAAAAAGGAAACACTATCAACAAAAACAGTTTCCAAGTTGCGGAACAAAAACAGTTTCCAAGTAACGGTAATCAGCACTCATCATTTGTTACAGAATCAGAGGCAATTATCTCTTAGTCATTAGCACAAAGGTAGTGAAATTTGGTTTATGTCAACTCAGTAAGATGCCAGGAGGAAACTGATTAGTAAGATGATGCAGAAGATAGCTATTTTTCTATCATCTTGTTCTTACACTGCTACAGGAAAAAGGACTGTACTAGTCAAAGTCTTCTTAGGGATGGGATGGAATAGCATGGATCTCAAAGGATTCTGGATATTTGTCCAGTTTCTTTCTCAGTAACAATACTAGTTAACACTTACTGGGTGTTGTTACTATGTGCCAGGCAGTATGCGAAGTGCCATAATCACCCTAGTGTAATATGTAACGCCCCATGAAAAAGGGGATAGGACTATTATTATTCCTATCCTACAGGAGAAAAAAACTGAGATTTAGAAAGAGTAAGTAATTTATCCAGAGTCAGTTAGGCGCTAAAATGCCAGAGCCAGAACTCTCTGGCTTCTTATAATCTTTAGTCTGGTGCTGGTTAAATCCACTGTGCTCCATGACCACAGACTGCCTCTTAATCCAGTTGGTATTCCGGTAAAAAGTTATATCATCAGTAACAAGTAAAAATGGTAAGAATGTAGGAAGAGGTTATGTTAAAACCATCACTGCTGACTGGGGGTTGAGAGAGCAAGGGAAACAGAAAACAAAACATCCACAATGAAAATCTTCAGAGCACACATTCTGTCATGATAGGACTTCCATGAATCAAAAGAATAGAGTTCCTTATTCTATAAAGGAAGAGAAAGGTTGGAAAAAATATAAGGCTAACCATGAAATTTCTTACTGGAATATTAGTAGTGTTGAAAGAGAAGTTAAGAAACATAAAACATTAACTATATGCTGGCAACCAGAATAATATAGACTCGTTCATAAAACATAGTATTATTTTTTGTTTGGTTGGTTTTTTTGGGTTTTTTTTTTTTTTTTTGAGAGAGAGTGTGAATGGGAAGGGGGAGAAGGAGAGAGAGAATCCCAAGCAGGTTTCATGCCCAGAATGGAGCCCAATGCGGGGCTCAATCTCACGACCCTGAGATCACAACCTGAGCCAAAATCAAGAGTCAGACACTTAACTGACTGAGCCATCCAGCCGCCCCCTAATAGTCATTGTTAAAGAAAGGGGTCAATCAATATTTATTGTCAATTATGTGCTAAACCCTGTGCTAAATACTTAAAGAAAAATATAGATTTATGCATTATCACATTCCAACTTTTATTAAAAGTTTATATTTATAAATTAAAAGGTTACGTACATGCTTAATAGTATTGTAATAGATGACCAAAAATTAGTACTGTCATTAAAGCTCAAGCTATTCCATGGCATTTTTTTTTCTTATGAAATCACACAGCCTCCTTTGAGCTCCTTGAAGGGATTTTTGTCCTCTGGGATACCCTTTACTAGTGGATCTTCTCCAGATCTTTCTTCCACATAATCCCTTACTTCTTCACAACATTTGGAGACCTTAAAGGAAAGGAGAAAGAAATGACTCATTTGGTTAAAACAGAATACTGCAGAATCCAAGAATGTATTATAATTTCTGTGTTCTTTTTAATGTGGTTCTGCTTTCCCCCAGTGCATATGTCTTTTCTAGGAGAGAAGAAGAAATAGCTGCTCTTTTTCCTGTGTTCCTGGATATCTTCAGGCAAAGGAGAACCATCTGGCCACACTCCAGCTAAGGGTTCTCAGGAGACACTGCCTCTAGCTTCTCTAAAGGAGATCAGAACAGGGATCAGAAAATAGCTGGCCACAAGGTCAACAGTGTCACCAGAGTAAACATTGATTAAATCTTTTTCCTCATTCCAGAAATATGACCTGTAAAGGTGGAAGAGAATGAATAACTTTCAAATTCCAGGCTTATCACCACTCCTGAATTCTCAGAAGTATCACATATAATTTTATTTTAAACTCATTTACAATGATTGATCATGACAGTGCACTAGAAGGTGAGCTCCAAAGGGTCAAGGACCTTTGGCTGACTTGTTCACATGTATCCCAGGCATCTAGAACAGAGACTGCATTTAGTTGGTGCTCAGTAAACAAGTATTTGTTGAACTAAATCATTATTTTTGTTTATGAGCTTGCTCTTCATTCATCTGCACCATTATAGTAATGACTTCATGAAAAATCAGGCTTTAGTATTTTAATGGACTCAGCCAGAGCTTAAATGGTCCATGTACCACTTAACACACCTTTTAGAATGAGTTCATGTTCTATAACATATATAAATGTGTGTATACACATGCATATACACACAATCTCAAATTATTAATTTCTTTTAACGTTCAACTTGTTTCCTTTTCACTTAATCTACTATTCATGATATTAAAACGAAACTATTTCATTTCTGGCAGTCCAGTAGGTGGCCATTCCATTAGCTATCTAACGAATTTACTGTGTTTTTTAAATACAATATTTATATCATTTTTGTATGCAAATTTCCAGCAACATTAAACATAAGACTTAAGATTACTTTATAACTCTGCAAATTCATTATCTACATAATAGGAAACATCATTTCAAACTGGGGCAAGGCATTGGTCAGGTGGCTCCTTCATATGATGATACTCATAGTTTATACACAATTCTGAAATATGCAGTAATTTAGATTCACATTTTTCCCTTTTCAAAATTCAAAATTAAGATTTAGGTTCACTTTTTTCCCCACTCCTCCAAACACCAGCTATTTTGGCCCCAACCGGGTGTCAGAACTGTCCTAATTCTAGAGTCCGTGAAGGGTTGGTTTTTACGTCTATCTAGGTGCTGAGGCTATAAGGAGCAATAAATTACCTAAAATCCTATGTGAGTGTGTGTGTTCAAAAATTACTTCAGTGAGGCTTATTTTAAGTATATATAGTTTAATATAGGATTAAATGGCATGGTGGAGAGCATGGACACTGGATTCAGGCCACCCCAGTTTTGAATTTTGGCTCTACCCATTTCCCTGCCGTATTTATTGTTAGTTAAGAGAGTTCATCTAAGGTTTAGTTACGTTATCTATGAAAAAGGAAGAGCAACAATGGTTGCATTAAGTGCCGAGCATACAACGAATGCTCAGTCAAATGGCGGCTCTTTTTGACTATTACTACAAAGATTATCTTTAGTCTTGGCCTATTGCCTTGACATACAGTCATTGCAAATCTGTCAGCTTTAAAAAACTGGCTGCAAAGAGTTGTGTCTTCTGACAATACTAGTGCCTTGATAGCAAAATAGGTTGAAGCATATTATGAACCAGTCTGGTTCAAAGACATCAAATAATAATTTAAAATAAAAATAATAATATAATTATTATAATTATATTTATATTTATATATTTATATTTATATAATTATTTAATTTTATTATAATTATATTATAATAAACACAGTAGAAAGCACTTGCTATGTCCTAGGTATTTGTTCTCAGAGCTTTGGATATATTACCCTTTTTACGCCTCCCAGTTGCCCTCTGAATTAGATGTTGTTACTATTCCCATTTTAGAGAAGATATCTCAGGTGAGTGTTCCACAGGGAGAAAGTTGTGGAGCCAGAATCTGAACCAGGGATAGGGTTCCAGTGTCTATCCACTGGACCATTCTATAAGGATGCTATGCCATCCTGTGTCAGAACTATAGGTTCAGGACCTAAAATTTGTGTGTGTGTGTGTGCGTGCGCACGCGTGTGTGTAGTTTTGGCAGTCTGGTATTAAATTAGTTTGACTTCCAAAAACAAGGAGATTCTGAGTAGCAGGGAAAAGGAACCCCCAAACCTGATAGATGGTGATGTATGTGATGTTTGCCTCAAATAAAAACTCCCAGGTGAGCTTGCCACAAATGAATAATAAACATGAATACAATCAAACTGCCTTCAAAACAACAATCCTGAGTAAATAAATAATGAAACAGCGTTTGGATGTTTCAAATCAAGAAGAAAAAATAACTTTATTTATCCCAAAAGTTTATTTTTCCCAAATTATAAAGATTTTAACCATTTGTTATATGTTCCAAGCTTTTTGTGCTGTTTATATATTTAATTTTATTTTTACAGCAAAATATGTTTTGCCTGTATGGAAAGGGCACCAGGGAAGTTTGAGACAATTATAAATGTAAAAGCCAAAATTCCAATTTTTATTGGGAATAAGAGTCTTGAAGATAATACAAACTCCTTTTCTGCTTTGGCTTGATAAAATGAGTTTTGGAAAAAATATAAAATATACTCTTAACACTCGTGGAGGAGTTTTTGTTCTACTTACTTTCCTAAAATGAAGAGATCTAAAATACATATCTACCTTTTCCAAGCTTCAGTTACTGTTTGTTTGAAGGAAACTTTTATTCCTTTGCCATTCCTCTCCTTTTAATGGAATAGAACTCTTGGTAACCATTTCCAAATCTGTTAGATGTTTTTAGGAGGAATGAGTGAATTCTTGTGCTTGAACTCATTTTTGTTTGCAAAGAAGGAGTAGAATGTACTCATTCATTACTAGCCATGACAGTGCTGGAGGAAATGAGGTCTTGGCTAAAAGTATTTAAACATCAAAGTATTGCATTAAATAAAGAGAAGCTTATCAATTTAGAAAAGCAAAAGCAAAATGCCTATACGCATTGCTTCATTTTACTGCTTAGCTAAAATACAGTCTCTGTCTCATATTCTTCATTTCCTTTCTCTCTCTCTCTTCCTTTCTTTTTTAAAACAACTCTATGAAAATGGAAAAACATTTTTAGTTTAGTGGTCATACAAAAAAAAGGCTGAGGGCTGGATTGGGGCCATGGAAAATAGTTTGCCAAACCTTTGATTTAGAGTCTAAATCAAGAGATAATTATGATTATTAATTTTCTTAATCTCTGATGAATTTTTGCCTGAACAATTCATTTTTAACTACATTGAGCCTTTCCAGTGAATGGTGTGGGGGAGGACAAATCATTTTCCCTCTACTCTTTTAGGTTCTTGGTTGAGACACACCTGTTAATAGAAAAGGCAGATTAACAGGAGAAAAACACACAGAAATTTAATAGCATGTACACCTCCTTTATACATGGGAGAGACCCAGGAAAACCAAGTAACTCCCTGAAATGGCCCAAGACACCCCCTTAAATACCATCTCCAGCTGAAGACAAAAGATGTTGGGGGGTGGGGGAGGAAAGGCCAGTTATGGGAGGTTTTCAGGAAAAGCAGTCATCAAAAGCCCACTTAAATCAAGCGCATTTACATCCTTGCCTTCTCTACTAATAAGAGTTTTAGAGTCATCCTTCTCTTCCTGGTATAGAGAGGGAGACACATTTATAAATGGAGACTTCTCTTATAACTGTAAATATCTCTTACAAAAGGGCAACTTTTACTTGGTTTCCAGATATTCTCCACTATCTGCTGTTTCTTAAAAATAACCAGCCTAGGGGTGCCTGGGTGGCTCGGTTGTTAATTGTCTGCCTTCAGCTCAGGTCATGATCCTGGGGTCCTGGGATCGAGCCCCGCATTGGGCTCCCTGCTCTGCGGGAAGCCTGCTTCTCCCTCTCTCGCTATGTCTCTCTCTGTCAAATAAATAAATAAAATCTTTTAAAAAAATAAAATAACCAGCCTAAAATAATACTTATGTCAAGGAGGTATATTTTGTTTGGGGTGGCACATTCTGCTCCCCTGCAACAGTTCCTGACTAACCTGGTAGTCCTACCATAATCTATAGTTTAAAATAAAATTCAGAAGAGAGCAGCAATTTACCAGCATTCTTTCCAGGGTCACTTCTTTCTTGAGCTGGTCAACTTCCATCTTCAATTTGTCTTTTTCTGTCAAGTCTTCAATATTGATCACTGGCATCTTTTGCCTGCTGAAAAAAAAGACAGTTCATACACCCAAATTGCTGCACATGCTTCAGGTCAATATTAGCCAATCCTTCCCTCAGCTCTTAACTTACTAAGTGAACTGTTTCTTTGTTTTAGCTTTCTATTATAACTGATTTCTTATGAATGCTCTCTGAACAATTCCAGCACCACACACTAGCCTTGCAATTTTAAAGCTTCTTTATAATCTTCACTAATATGATTAAACCAAGCATTTGACTCTAACCACCTGCTAGTAGGTTTGTGGGGATGTGGGGAGAGGTCAGTTTAGTCAGCATATAGTCTTAAACATCCAAAGCCTTCCCTTTTCCCTTTTTTTTTTTTTTTTGTGGGGGGCATGGTGTAAATGGTTGGGTTTCCAACCCTCATCTCTAACACGAGAGTCCTCCATCATATGATATATGCCATTTCAGTTAGTTTGAGGTCATTCTGAGGACTGCCCATTAATCCCCTAAATCACTAGAGTATTTAATCTGGTATTAACAGAGAACTATACAAAAACTGTTACTATAAGTTCTTTATAAATATAATAGGTTGAAATATAAGCCAATAGAATGGAGAGACAGCAAACAACCTCATTAATCAGAAATAAACTAGCATATTACTTAGAATGTGTCTCTAAACAATACCAGGAAGTTCTGTGTAATTGTCACAATGCATTGGAAAGCAATGATGACCAAATGTAGTGGGTTAAAGGTGACATAGTGGGTATACTAATGGACATCATAAAAGAAGGATCTTCTGCACTCTCAGCAATCTCTTCTCCTTAATTAGATCAATGGACAATGGGGGAAGATGGTTCAGTAGCTGGTGGTACCCATATGCAATTGTCTGGAAAATATTTCATTGTAGCCAAGTGGCATCACACTTAAAATCTCTCCTTTTTTGGTTTTCTTCTCTTCTCCTTTGTCTCCCTGGTCCAATTTTTATAATGACATATTTTTATGAAAGTAAACATATTTAGGTCACATGCTATTTCAGCGAACGACATTGTATATTTACATAAAAATACTCTGCTAATAATTTATCAGCAATTAACTTATTTCCTTGTATGATACAGTGTTATCATTCCCAAAACCTTTGAGGAAATATTATTTCCCTTCTCAATCTTATAATAGACTCTTCTTCTCTGGGAAATAGACATTTTAACATATTTTTAGGGGCAAATGCCTAAATATGCCAGCACAGATACAGAAAAGAACACTCTATGAGTACCCAAAGTCAATGTTTCCTGTACTCTTTTATTTTTGCTCTTCTGTTCTTACCTTAAGAAACAATATGACAACACAAAGGTTGTTCCTTCTTGTGTAATTATTGTTTGGTATTCGAGAGCCCATGCGCAAGTTCATTCTCCCTTTCCTTCTCACTGCCTTCAGAATATCTGTAACCATTCACAAGCATATCTACCTCTGCTGATCATTTTTAGCTGTTGATATTGTCCTTTGCATATTTTTTCTCCATCTTGGAAAACTAATTCCACTCGGCAATGGCTCTAACACTTCAGTGTATATAAGAATCGCTTTAGGAACTTTAAAATATGAGTGCAATCTAAGAGGCTTTGATTTGGAATAGGGCTTAGGAAGGGAAAAATGAAGGAGGGGAATCAGAGGGGGAGATGAACCATGAGAGACTATGGACTCTGAGAAACAAACTGAGGGTTCTAGAGGGGAGGGGGGTGGGGGATGGGTTAGCCTGGTGATGGGTATTAAAGAGGGCATGTATTGAATGGAGCACTGGGTGTTATACACAAACAATGAATCATGGAACACTACATCAAAAACTAATGATGTAATGTATGGTGATTAACATAACATAATAAAATAAAATTTAAAAGAGAAAAAAAAAAAGAATTCCATTTTCTCTGTTTCAGAGAATCCCTACCATGTTATTGCCAATGAAATGATCACTCTTTGGCTCTTGCTAGGGGTGTGGCCCTCATCAAGTTACTTAACTTCTGTGCCTCAGTTTACTAGGAAATCGGAGCAATGTGATTACCTACATTGTAGATTTCTTGAGAGGAATCAAGATTGTACAATGGTATGTGGCATGAAACAAGTGCTCAGTACATGTTAGCTGGAGTACCCACTTATTCGGCACCTCTAGACTTTCAAACTGTGCTGTCTTACATGGCATTTTCTGTTAGGTGGCTCTAAAAGTGCTCTTAAGGGATATCATGTGGACATGATTTGGCTCCTTTAATAGCAGATGCTGTTGGTGCCCTTCCTAGACCCCCTTTCCAGGGTGGGGTGTTCATTTCCCCAGCAGGTGCACGTGTTCACCGCCAAGGGCAAGCCTTCTGCATAGGTTTGTTCCTGGCTGATGGGAACCACTTCAACTGGTGATGTCTGGGAGATTATGCTTTCGATCGGCTCCTATGGGTGACCTGTAGCACAGGGCTGGCTGAAGTGGGGTTCTAATAGCTCAGACCAGGTGCCTGTGGGCTGAAAAACCTTGTAATTGAGAACCTTCCAGAGCTCCCCATGGGGTCAGGATAAGCTAGACATCTGAAACTACACCCTTGCTTAACTTCTGCTTCATCTTGCTTTCTACCTTCCTTCAGAGATTTCTTGTGAGAGCTCATCCTTGATAAACCACTTGGACAAGGATCCTTGTCTTAGGCGCTGATTCTAACAAATCTAAGACACAATGGGTTATAAGGACCTTTATAAGAGCATCTATATCTTTCATAACTTTTATGTCCTTACTCCTGCCTATTGTTCAATATATGAAAGAGAATCATGGAGTGTAGATAAAGTCACTTGCAACCTATGTCATAAATATTCACCTAGTCATAGGAAGAAGTGCAAAGTACCTAACTTCAATTTATTAACAAATGATCTCCAAACTCTAAAATTTAATAATATTTTAAGTAAAACACATTTCATTTGGTGGAGGTGCATCTTAGAAGATGAGAGAATGCTTGCCAAACTTGATGCCACGGGACTTGTATGAGAAAATTCAAAGAGGGAGGATCAAAACTCTAACCTCCCTCAAAGACAGCCAGACACACAGAGAAGGGCAGTGTACATTGTCTGCATGGAGTCCCAAGGCTCAGAGTTGCACTGAAGAGTTTAAATGAATTCAGATATGGCATAATCTAATCATCCTTAATCCCATTTTACAGATGGAATAAGGGTGGACCCAAATCATAAAATGGGTGGCAACAGAGCTGGGGCTATCACACAGATGTTTGGCTTTTGGTCTGGGGTGTTTTCAACTCCAGCACACTTCTCTCTGTTACCCTTTCCAAATTAGTGTAAAAGAATAGATTTGTTTTGTCATACTTTAGAATTACACTGAAAGAAGGCACAGAATTGAAAACAAAGGCACTAAGCCACTCTGTCGTATTTCCCCCCATACCTGGGCAGCTCAAAGCTTCCACGTTGAGCCACCTCTCCGCAGGAAGTTCTAAGAGGGGCTAGGTCATATTACTGGCATATTACCAAGCATCCTTACCCCACTGCCACCAGAATATAAAAGGGGAGGACTGAAGACTCAGACCAACAAGCTAAGGCAGCATTTACAGCTAACTCGGGGTCGGGGGGAGGGCGGAACATACCCCTTTAAGTAGAAGATGTTTGCCCTTTTACTCCTTCTTCCATCTTGCACTACTATCAGGGGCGGTAAGGTCCAATATAGCAAAGAGAAGAGGAGGGGGAGAAAGTACCTCAGAGTTGTACCCCATTCATAGAACAGTGGTTCTCTGTGGGGGAAAATACTGCCCCCTCCAGGGCCTTTTGAAAATATGTCAGGTTGTTTATGGTTTTCAGGGGTTTTGTGGGTGTGAGTAAGGGATGTAGGGAAGATAGAACTATGTAGAGTAGCTTAAGTGTCTCCCTAATATCTTCCATTAGCTTTCTTGCTAATCTATTCTAGAATTAAAGTGGGCTAGTATAAGTTCAAAAGCTACCTGCTGTCTGTTTGTTTTTACACATTGTAGGTAAGTATATTTTGAAGTAAGGCAACTTGACAAAATATTTAACTTATAAGGGCTATATTAGTGGAAATTATTAAAATTATTTTTAGAAGTCCCCTGTTTTATACAGTGGATCAATCACACATTCTTTGAAATAGAAATGTTGCTAACACACTTTAAATATTTTGATTTATAAACATTCCATTTGACACTTTTTTTTCCAGAAACAAATCCACTATATTATGTACAATAAATTTGCAACCATATGGCTATAAATTTTCTTATCTTGTACTATTCTTTTTCATCCTGACATTATACCTAGGACTACAAAAATAGCTAACATTTTATTCATTCATTCAACAAATATTTACTGAATGCTATTATGTGCCAGACAGTATTCTAGATGCTTGAGGGCAGAGCAGAGAAAAATATAGAAAATGTTGCCCATGAGGAACATACATTCTAATGAGGGAGAAAGACAATAAACAAGATAAAATGTACCATATATTATATTGTGATAAGTGCTAGGGGAGGTATAATAAGTAATTTGTTTATTCCACAGACACTTATAAGATCCTACTGTCCATAAGTCTTGCTCTTAGCACTGGGAAACAATGGTGACTACAACAGGTAAGTTCCTGCTGTCACAGAGCTTACATAATAGTGAGAGGATCAGACAAGTGAAACAAAATGAATAAACATAGTGATTTCAACTGATAAATGCTATAGTTTATGATAAGGAGTGACTAGGATGTGAAGCAACATCATCTAGACTGATTGGAGGTAGTGCCAGTGGGACCAACACGGTCAAGAAGGAGACAGTGAAGATCAGGAGATGAACGTTTCATGCAAGGAGAAGGGCTAAGCAGAGAGAACAGCGCATGCAAAGGACCAGAAGTGGGAACAGATTTGTTGTACAAGGAGAACAGAAAACACAGTGTAACGAGTAGAGTAAGAAAGAAGGAGAGTGATGGGGTGAAGTCAGTCAGGGAGAGAGCAGCCACGTCACATAGAGTCACCCAGAGGAATGGTGACGAATAAAGTGAGGACCTAATGAACGGTTTTGATTTTGAGGAAGTGAGGTGTTCTGATGTGTTAAAAACACTCTGCTGTGTGGGGTTGAAGGGGAACAAAAGTGGAAACTGGGATTTTATGTAAGAACCTAACATAATAGTCCTTTAAGAACAGAGAGATTTGAACAATATTGGTAGCCATGGATATAGAGAAATATAGGCAGATTAAAAATGTGATTTGGAGGTAGAATTGACAGGACTATTGATGGATTGGGTGATGAAGAGATGGGAGATGTCAAGAGTGATTCCACAGTTTTGGGCTTGAAAGTCTAAGTAGAAGTGTCATTGACAGAAAGAAGGAAGATTGGGGTATATGACCAACACTTCAGTTTAAGACATACAATATTTGAGATGTGTATTAGATATCCAAGTAGAGATACTAAGTAGATGTAAGTGTTTGGAATTCAGAGGTGAGGTCAAGACTATACACAAATGTGTGTGTGTGTGTGTGTCTGTGTGTGTCTACTTGAAATCACATAAGAAGAAAGTACAGTTAGAAAAGAGTTCTCAAGGTTGAGCTTTGAGTCACCCCACCTTTAATGGGCAGGCAGAGAAGGACAGATTGAGAAGGAATACTCAACTAAGTAGGAGGAAACCAGAAGAATGTGGTAAAGTAAAAACTAAAAGAAAAGCATTTCAAGGATGAGGAAGAGTTTGAAATTGTTAAATACTGCTGAGATGGAAAAATGTGGTCCTTGGTGACCTCTGTGGCAGCTGCTTTGGGTGTCATATGAATTGAGAGGTCCAGTAAGATGTGGCAACATGATGAGGTGCTCTTGACGGGAGCACTTCCTATTCTTCCTCTTCCCAATGTAGAAGTTGAATTGGAGTGCAATGGGGGGCGGGGGAAGGGGAGATGAAGAAGTGGAGGTAGATAGTGAAGATAACATTTCTGATAAGTTTTGCTGGAAAAGGGAGCAATGAAATAAGGCTCTAACAGGAAAGGGATAGAAAGTCAAATATGAACTTTAAGTTTGGGATGGAAAAAAAAATCAGAGATAGAGCACTCCAAATGGAAACCACTGAAAGAAGTGATGTTACAGAGAAGAGGAGTGAAGTCCTCGAGAAGGCAAGAGGTGAAAGGATCCAGAGCAGTAGCTACCAGGTTGGTGTCTGGTTGGACCAGGGCATGACTTCTATTGTAAGCGAGGGGAAGAGAGTGCCGGAGATCCTGTCCACCAGTAGGAACAGCTCACACTTCTCTGGCTCATTCAGTATCCCTAGTCCACGCTAGCGTAGTCAACTCTCTTCCAATACAGACATTTTAGTTTGACTCAGTTTGTTTCCTTGGCTAATAGTCAAGAGGGAGAAAAAAAATAGTGAAATAGTAAGAGTCTTAGGAGATGTACTGCCCTTTCAAACTGCAACTATGGCCTCCCCCTGCCCCCAAATGGTAGGTTGTCCCTTCTGTGTGACTTAAGATACAAAAGCTTTTCTACATAAAACTAGAACAAATGAACATATGGAGGGTTTATGACAGACACATAAGTAATGTATAACATGTGATTTGGGCTAGGGTATAAACATGACAATATTTTTGTAAGAAAGAGTGTCTTTATACTTGAAAGGTCAAGGTCCATTACTTTCTGCTAAATATAACCCTGAAAGTAAGGATTTAGTGATTAACTCTCTCAATCCTTTAATCTGATTATTAACTTTGGCAGATGCTTCTCTTAGAGCATTAGAGCAATGTATTTAAATTGTAGTGATCTGTTTGTCTGTTTGTTCTTAATTATAAACTTTATGTTTGAGTGAGAAGTCTGTAATCTAACTGTCCAGGTACTGAACTAAGATCATGAGCACGTGTTACATATAATAAGCCTGACTTCGGGCCCCACTAATGTGTAAGAAAAAGCTTGTACAGTGAGTGAGACCAGCGGATCAGGATTCAACGGCCTGAGGTAACTGTATAGCTTTGACCAAGTCACATATTCACCTAAAGTTTCAGTGCTTATCTGCAGAATGGGGAGAATAAAGTATCACCCTCAGTGGTTATTGTGGGAGATGTAATGAGTTAATGTACACAAAGTACAATGTAAACTCTCAATCAGCATCATATTCATTATTATAGTTATTGCTCTTCCCACATGATATACAGACATTAGGGGCAATTTTCTCTGTCTTTCCCCCCTTCCTGACATGCCACTCTCTGGTGGATTGGTAGCCCAGGCTAGAATTCTGGGCAGGTGGTAAGGCCATACTGTGCCAGAAACATCTTGGATAAAATAGTCCAAACTCTGTCCCAGCCTTCTGGGTGCCCTACAAAGGTAAGTATGCAGCAATCTGAGTAAGAGGAAAGATGGTCTGCCTCTTAAGTAGGCATGATAGTTGAGTGAACATACATCTAGGTAGAAGAGAAAGGGTGTTTCTAAGATTCTGCCTTCCTGCAGAAGGCAATGCTTTGCTAGAATCACAACACCTTAAAAAAAAAAAACCGACCAAAGCAACCAGCTGTTGAAGGAGTGAGTCTCTGTGTCCCATAGGCATAAAAAATATGTTAGATCTGTTTGTGTAGATTGGCTTTTGTTTAGAACTGAGCGCTTGCTAAAATTTCATTTCCTCCTCTATGATCCCATAAAACCTAGTACATATCTTTAATATTGTACTAAAAACACTATATTGCAATTGGGTTATGTGATGTTCATCTGTCTACTCTATTGTGCTATGAGATCCCTACATGTTATTTGTCTTTGTATTCCAAACGCCTAGCACAAGGTTTGGCACATATTAAATAGTAATTCTGCTTATTTTAAAAATATATGGATGAAAAAATGACCACGGTAAGAGACACATTAAATACCCCATTATATCGTTCCCCTAAGGAGAACAAGAATAATAAAATTAGGCATAGAGAATGTCTCATCCTCTTACGTGGCTCCGCTTTATTATACAATGCTCACCGATGCACTCTGTTTCCGACAGAGGGCGCACTAGAGCAAACATTTCCTACGTGACCCAACTCACTTGAAAAACACCTTGTCGGTGAAGGAGTTGCCTAAACTTGAACAAAATCCTCGTGATCCCTCATCTCTCAGGAGAGATGAACTACCTTTCTTATCAAATGCGTAAAGTTCTTGGTCGTGCCAGCTGGACTCACTTCAGATTTTATTTTGGCTTAAGCTAACAGGCAGCGACAATTTTGTTTATTGGGGAGTTATCAATGTAACTCGGTAAGTGACTATGTTATGTAATATATATCCCCAAATCACTGGGGATGAATTCTCCTCATTCATTTATGAGCTAAACATGCCACCTCTCTCTAAGGTGTCTGACAGAGAAGAAGACCATCTGCCTCAATCCTCCCCTTAAATTCACGATCACTGTCCAAGCATGTGTGGCTCTCAGAAGACAGAACATCATACTCGAGATGTGGAAATTCTAGGAGCTAATGTGTTCCAAATCAACTTCATATCCTTTTTTTTTTTTTTTTTTTTTACGGGGCCGGGAGTGGGTTGGTGAGAAAGAACAGAAGCACGGATCTGACACACGCACAGATGTTCCTGAAATCACTGTAGCCTCTGTGTGTTTTCATTCTGGTATTTACTGTTCTGCTCTAAGGTCTCGGTACAGTAGAAAGAGTCCAGGTATGGGAATGGTAGGAAGAATACAAGGCTGAATATCAAGAACCTCGGTCCTAGTCTCAGCTCTGCCGACAACTAAGGTAAGTAAACATGACCAGGTCTCTGTATAATTCTGTAAAATGAAAATAGTGGAATAGACGATATCTATAGTTCCTTCAACACTCAAATTATAAGAACTCCATGCCTTATTTCACAGAACTCCAAACTATTTTGAACCTCAATTTTTAGCCATAGCCACTAAAGCTATTACTTGGTGTAACAATGACAAATCAATCTGAATGACTGTTCTTTGCAGTTCCCTCCAGACTTGCACGTCCTGTTGACTTTGGATAAAGGAATTCTTTTCCTTTGCTATGTGGTAACCTTTTGGCTTAGTTACTGGTTTAAGGATACAGAAGTACTGTGACATCCCTATGGAGGCTGGTTGCAGTGGTCACATGGCTCCTTCCACATGGTCCTAAGGATAAATTCAGTAATTTAAAGTAGTCCCAGAAAATTTAGATTCCCCTTACATTGGAAGATATCCTTTTCATGGATATAAAAATACTCAAATGGTTTGCAATTAAGAGGTGTAATTTCCTTCCTGATAACTTGGCCTGATCATCTCAAACTTCTAACTGTCCCCACTTGTTGAATTCTCCTTCCCTGTCTCTGCTCAGTGGTCACAGGGGTGTTAAAGATGCACCCTATTTGGCATAGAATAAAGGAAGGAAGTTAACATTTCTGGAGTACCTCTGAACATGAATTTTGCCCTGTGTCCACAGACTCTACACGACAGAGGGGTGAAAAGCCTGATTTTGGCCCTTTCCCCATTCTCCTTCCCCTCCAGGTGTTCCAGAGCATCCTGAGTCCTTAGCAGGACTAAGGACTCTGCTCTGGCTGAAAGAACCCTAAGCTCATTTCCCCAGAAGAAACCATCATGAAGTTATATCTGATTGTGTGACAGCTTCCTAGGCAGAGAGGTGGCCTCTGAGCTCAGCCAAAGAGGAGAGCTGGTGAGAGCAATGTCGCAGGCTTCAGTCCTACAAGGCCAGTTCACGGTGCTGTTTCCTGACTGTGGTTGACACTCCCATCTTCAAGTTTTGTGCAAAGGCTCTCAATGGGAATCAAAACATGGATAATCAGGCTGGAGTCTGTGCCTGTGCGTAAGACGCTGAAGCCCACCCCTTTGAGTGCTTAGGCACTTGGCCTTTAATCCTCATAACACCCATGTAAAGTACAGTCATTATATCCATTTTACAGAGAAGGAAACTGAGGCTCAGAGAATTTATGTGACTCTCCAAAGGAGCAAGGAATAAAATTCATTTTCCCAGTGCATCATGCAATTTCCCAAAATTGCCTGCTCTAATTCAAAAGATTCCTCTTTTTTGGGGTGCCTGGGTGGCTCAGTCATTAAGCGTCTGCCTTCGGCTCAGGTCATGATCCCAGGGTCCTGGGATCGAGCCCCACATCGGGCTCCCTGCTCAGTGGGGGGCCTACTTCTCCCTCTCCCACTCCCCCTGCTTGTGTTCCCTCTCTCGCTGTGCCTCTCTCTGTCAAATAAATAAATAAAATCTTAAAACAAACAAAAGATTCCTCTTTTTATATGAAGCAAAAGATGATCAAAAAGTACCAGCACCTGAGAACAAAGAACAGAAGTGACAATAGTCAATGCTAAGTGACAAGTCTGAATCAGTCCTTGAATTTATTTTAGTCCATATGGGAGATATATTTAATCACATTCAGAAGAATGAAAATCATATTCAGAAGAATGAAAACTTGAAGTTGAAGTAACTTTTCTCCTGAAAATTGAGAATATTAAATACAACAAGAGGAAAAAAGGGAGGAAGACACAGTCATCAAGAGAATCCATTAAAATGTTCGCCAAAAATAGCTTCAATATTTCATGTGAAATCCGAGCATAAATAATTTGTTTTGTATAAAGAAAAAAGTTAGACTCAGGCTAATATGTCAGAGGAACAATGAACGTTAATGCACTGACAATTAGGAAATGTGCAGGAAGGGATTGATCTGGGATCCCCTACGGCCACCTTTCTATGGACTTTCATGTTCCAGCTCAAAAAAACATAGCCACAATACTTACACATAGCTAATGGGGGCGGGGGAGTATAAAATGGTATAATCATTTTGGAAAAGTGGCAGTTTTGACCATTTATAAATATTTTACCCAAGAGTAATAAAAGCTGCATGTATGCACAAAGCAGCTTTATTCATAACAGTCTCACACTAGAAACAACACAAATGTCCAGTAACAGGACATTTGTAGTACATTCATACATTGGAAGAATGGACTCAGCATTTAAAAGAAATGAACTATGCAATAACATCGTGTGTCTTTAAAACAGGAGTGGAGCAAAAGAAGTACAAACAATACACACTTTATGATTCCATTTGCATGAGATTCAAGAACAGGCAAAACCAATCTCCTGTGATAAGAAGTGGTTGCCCCTGCCTGGGATTGGGAGGATTGACTGGGAAAGGGTATGAGAGAATGTTCTGGTGTGCTGCAAGTGTTCTAATTCTTGATTGGAATGGTGCTGTACCCTTAAGATATATTATGAGCCTTTTATTAAATTAAATCTCGATTGAAATATGTACGTATGTATACATGTAAATAAATACACATACTTAAATTTCTAATCGAATAAAGGAATCTATTGCAAGGAGCCAGGCTCCCCTCAGTCCACTGAATTTCACACTTTGTCTCTGCCCTTCAAATACTTGGACTTCGTGCTTTCATAATGGAGTGATGCTGCAAGTTTGAACCTTGTGCAATCACCCCCAGGTCATTTTCCTCTAGCTTGCCCACCATCACCGACACAATGCCGCATCTAGTCACTCTGGCCAAGACAGGAGAAAGTTTGGGAGGCAGGTTCAACTTGGTGGGGAATTCCTCTCCCCCGCACACTTTCCAACACAGGGCTGTGGGTCACAGCCTGTGGGGCATGAATCAGCCTCCCGGGCTCCGCACAGGCACGCTCCGCCCCGTCCGGGGTCGGGAGGACACTCACCCTACATAAAGCAGGCACCCACCACATCGGCACCCAGGCTGCCTGGAGGCTGGACTCCGTGCACCCTCTTCCCGCCGGCACATTCAAGGAACGCCTCGCCCCGAGGGCCACTCAAACCGGACAGCATGGACTCTACTCGCCCCCTCGGGCTGTTGCTTCTGCCGTTGCTCCTGATGGGGACCGCGCTGGGCAACAGTGATCAGGAGGCGCCAGGTATTGGCGGGTCCGGGACCCCCTCTTTGCGCCGGGCTTCCACCCCGCAGTAGGCAGCGCGGGCGCTGCGGCTGTGGGGTCCCCTGCACCCGCTCTCTCCGCCCGGCTTTCCCCGGGCCCCTGTTGCACAGGGCGCGTCTAGGAGCCGCGGGAAGAGATCTTCGTGCCGAAGTTTGTACTTTCTCTCTGGGCAAACCCCCCTGGGCTGGGAAACGGAGGGACAGAAGTCCCTGGGAAGCCTCTACCTTCCCGGAGACGTGGCTCACCTCCTTCCCTCTCTCGGGCTCTCCTGCTCCTCCAGAAGGAAACAATGCAGACATCTGCCTCCTGTCCCCCGACGTGGGGCCGTGCCGGGCCCGGATCCCCAGTTACTACTACGACAGGTACACGCAGAGCTGCCGCATGTTCTTCTACGGGGGCTGCCAGGGCAACGCCAACAATTTCGAAACTTTGGAGGACTGCAACGAAGCTTGCTGGAGGATAGAGAGTAAGTGGCCGCGCTCAAGCTCAGAACCCTTGCACGGCTCCTTACACAGAAGGGCTGCTAGTAAATTAATTTCCCAGATCCCATTTTCCGCAGTAAGTTGTAGCCTGCATTTTCTCAAACATTAAGTAAGGCTAACTTGTTATTTCCAGAAAGTAATCACAAGTTTACATTGGCTAACAAATTTCTCTCCTAAGTGGCATTTATCATAATTCAGTGTCCGCGCAGACTCAGGGCAAGAGTTCACCGTAGGGCATGATGATGCAGGGGTATGATGTATTATTGGGTGCCACATAGGTACTTTTCTTTATCACTAGTTCTAAACCTATGGTTTTTATGCCTCCTCGAGAGAACCATTTCCTCGTGTCAATTACCCATCAATCTGAAATACTTTCAGCGGATTTTATTGTTAAAGTGTGATTTAGCTAACTGTAACTTTTCCTTTTGTCCCCTGACACCCAAACTTGTTTTGGGTTAGTACAGGGATATAGTAGAGATTCATGATCATGGTTTCTATTTCATTTTAATCATTTTTATTTATTAAGGCCAGTAACAAACCATGGGACTTTGCCATTCAAGGAACTAAGCCAAGGAAAAATGTGTATGTATTCCTGTGAATAAGTTTGATTAACTTCATATGTAGAAAAATCAGAACACCCTGAGAGAACAGAGAGAATTTCCACTGAATTTGGCTGACTCAGGTCTGGAGCCACTATTAAAAAAAAAAAAAAGAGCTGAATAACTGGATTAAGGAAAAGTCTTTTGGGGATTTACTATCCCAGTACTAAATGTGATACTGTTTTCTCCTTAGTTGTTTCTGAAAATACAGTAAAGTTTTGAAGTAATACTAAGTACTACTTACTAAAAGCAAGTAATACTAAGTAATACTAAGAAAGCTAATTTTTGACTAGCATTGTTTTATGCCCTCCTTTTCCCAGAAGTTCCGAAAATTTGCAGGTTGGAAGTCAGTGAGGGGCAGTGTGGAGTGCGCACAGGAGAGTATTTCTTCAATCTAAGTTCCATGACATGTGAAAAATTCATATCTGGCGGGTGTCACAGCAATAAGAACAGGTTCCCGGACGAGGATACTTGTAAGGGCTTCTGTGCACCAAAGAAAAGTAAATACTATTTTTATGGGGTTTCTATTTCATTTCTTTAAGATCTTAGGGTGAAAAGATCAATAATTTGATGTATAATTAACATGCCTTGTGTTCTGATGATTTCACATACAGTAGGATATCAGTCCTACTCTATATATGTGCCCTGTGAGGGAGTATTATTATTTCCCCGTTTACATATGACAGTACAGGCTGCCAGAGGTTAATGACTTGCTAAGTCCTCAGGGCTAGGAAGTCTCAGGGCTAGGAAGTTTTTGCTTCCTGTTCTGGATTGTTTCTTTAGAACTATTTCTCATTTACTTAATTTACACATAAAAATTACAGTATTCTGGGGGTGCCTGGGTGGCTCAGTCAGTTAAGCATCCAACTCTTGATTTAGGCTCAGGTCATGATCTCAGGGTCCTGGGATTGAGCCCTAAAGTGGGCTCCATGCCCAGCGTGGAGATGATCTCTCTCTGTCCCCCTCTTGCTCTCTCTCTCTCAACTAAATAAAACCTTTAAAATAAATCACAGTATTCTGAATGCCATGACCTCAGGGTTGTAAGGAATCACTGTGTATAGGAGATGGGGGAATATATACAGACCTCAGATGGTGAATCTTGATAATTTCTGTCTAAAGTCTTCAGCTAGATTTCTGCATCCTTTAGCAACTGCAAACTGCAGGACAAAGACCTCTCTATCCTTCCTTTTTCCGCTCCGATTTCTTATCTACATCCCCACCCCCTCAGTCCTGAAATGATGGCTTACTTGGGCAATACTTTTGTAGACAGAGACAATACAGACATTTTCCCCAGGCACAGCGGAGACACACATACCCAAAGATATATTAACTTAACAAGGAAAACTTGCTTTGGCAGAGATCTGAGGAAGCTCTATAGCTATACTGTGTGCAAAAGCTTGTGTTAATGAGGAGATGGTTGTTGCTTGTGTTTCCTTAAATTTTTTGTATAAAGGTAAATGTTCCAGTGCCTACTTGGGAATTACATAAATGTATTCTTGATTAATGATGGAAGGAGAGCTGACAAAAACATTTAAAATAAACCTACCAACACAAGAAGGTTTACTAAAGCATGTCATATATCAATCCTTGAAACCCAGCCGATTTCTACCTGACCATATCTGTTTCTTGGGTTTAATTTCTTAACACATTCAAATGATACAAGGACATAGCTTCAGAAGAAATTCTCTCCCTTTATAAAAATTTTAGAATTAACAAACTAGAGCATGTAAGCTTTCTTGAAAATTGAGACACACTTTTTAAATGGTTTAGTATGATATTTTGAATTCAGAATGAAGCTTCAGTGGGATTAGATTTTCTTCAGTTACTTCAGTAATCATCACAGTTTATTAATTTTGGTATTATTGCATTTCTAATTTTGTTTTCCTTTTCATCAAGTTCCGTCATATTGTCACAGTCCGAAAGATGGGGGACTATGCTCTGCTAATGTGACTCGCTATTATTTTAATCCAAGACACAAAGCCTGTGAGACCTTCACTTATACTGGCTGTGGAGGGAATGACAATAACTTTGTTAACATGGAGGCCTGCACATATGCTTGTATAAAAGGTAGGTTTTTTTCTTATTCAATTTTTAAACTAATTTTATAAATAATTCATAAGCAAAATTATATTTTATATATCCATGTTCTTAATAGCATATTGCCATTTCTAGACCACTTCTACATAAAGAGCACTTTAGTACTGATCGATTTGGTTAAATGCTCATACTGCCTAGCTCCCACAGACCGTAACTGTATCCTTGCCTTTTAGAGGTAGAAAGTTACTAACTTGAGTGGATAGTGAGTAAAACTGACTTTATAATCATTAAAAATAGTTGAGGTGAGTGTGTAAGCATCTTGGAAATGTTGATTATTTAAAGTGAGACTATGGACTGGAGATATATGATATTTATTTTTATTTTGCTGACTTTAGCTGTGAGGAAGCAAAAGGATAAGAAGACGCCGAAGATTGTCTTTGCTCATAGAAGGGTGAAAACTTGGAAGAAGTAATTTTAACCTTTTTTCCTATATGTCATCTTGTGGAGCTATTGCCTCTATGGTTATATCTGAAGAAGAATATGGTGATATGGGGAAATGAATCATTAATGATTTATACACCAGTTTTTATTGCTACAGGTTACTTTTTTGTGTATTTTTACACATAACTAGCTGCTATTCAAATGTGAATCTATTATTTTTAATTTACTGTTCACATATATTTTAATGTAGTTGAATTCTTGCTGTGCATAAGATATAAAAGCAAATATGATTCACCCAGTTCTTGGAGTTGTTCTTCATGATTTCAGAAGGTGATAGTAACTGAAAAGCATGAGACAATATAGCCATGTTCTCTTAACACATATGATCATAAAAAGGACCAGCAAATACATTTTATTTTGCATTTAAAAGTTGGATTATATTTTAGGTCCAAGGAAACAAACTTGCAGATTTACCAACACTTTAGAAAATATTACAAGTGCTGTTATATAGACATGACTAACTTCTTTATCTACTGTGTCATTTAGAAGATAATAACTTTTTTGAATAAGAAGTTAGTAAATTTATTAAAATCAGAAATGCTTTCTTCTGGGGATAAAATTCTCTCTATCTACCTTTCCACCCATCCATCCTCACTCACATGTATATATTTGTTTATACATACAGATCTTACATTACTTCCAAAGATATTTAGATTGGAAACCACTAAAATTGTTAAAATTTTTGAACTGTTCAAGGCATTCACTTAAATTACAGACCATGAATTTAGTAATTTAAATTCTACTAATGAATTATTCTTGATAAATATGATCATTCCAGTTAAAGTTTTTTCTTTTCTCTGTAATAAGAATATTTTTAAAAATTCCTACATTTTCATGGCAAGATCAATATATTTAAAATATGCCCCCAATCTAGCAAAATTGTAAGCGCATTTGCCCTTCACTTGAGCAATCCCTCTTTTAAAAATCTATCCCAGGGGCACCTGGGTGGCTCAGTCGTTAAGCATCTGCCTTCAGCTCAGGTCATGGTCCCAGGGTCCTGGGATCGAGTCCCGCATTGGGCTCCCCGCTTGGTGGGGAGCCTGCTTCCCCCTCTCTCTCTGCCTGCCGCTCCCCCTACTTGTGCTCTCTCTCGCTCAAATAAATAAAATCTTTAAAAAAAAAATCTATCCCAGAGGTATTGTGACAAAAATACAAAATGGTATATTCCTGAGGACATTCATTGATGTATTATTTGGAAGAATCAAAAACTGGAAACAAACCAGATAATCATCAGTAGGGGATTGAAGAAATGGATGAAAAATGAGCAAAATATCTATATGTGGATATCATCTGATCCTCAGAATACATTTTAAAAAAGGGTCTAGAACAACATGAATAAATACACACATCACAGAGGACATAAAGATACTAAAAATAGTTACCTACAGCAGGAAGGAGGAAACAGGATGGGACAGGCATGGAGATAAAATTTATGTGAATATACCTTATTATATACTTGTGATCTTAGACCATATAAACATTTTGCATAATAAGAAAGCAAAACTAAAAAGAATAGAAAGCATTCCTTCTACAACTGAAAACAAACCAAAACAATTGAACCCAAATGAATATCAGATAATTGCCTAACTACAGAGAGAATACGTAATTATTTCTGGTGACTTTCAAAGCCAGTATTTTGACTATCTTTTAAGGGATATAATCTAAGGGTCAAATAAATTGTGAAGAAATCTGAAAATACGTTTAGTAGTCTTATTAGTAATATTGATATTGTTATTTTGAACTTACATAGAATGCTACATTATACTATATATTCTGTAAGAAAATATAAGAATTTATTTCTTTAGAAGTCAAGATTTTCAGTGTTAAGAGAAAAAGTATGAAATTAAGAAATGAAGAAAAAATCTTTAACTTTTAAATTGGAATATAAATATTAGCATGAAATTAAAATTTATTTTCTCTTTGGGAAAAAAAAGTATTTTCCACTCTCTCATTGAAAAGTCCTTGAAGCAATGACAATCCAGTAAGTACACCTCCCATTCAGATTGTGGTCTCTAAATATGATTTCTCATTAAGAGGAACCAGGTCTCTTAGGAGAAATCACTGAATCCAGGTCTGGGACAGGAAATATATAAGATGAACCTGGGCCATCTATTCCAGATAGCAAGAAGCTATTTGAATCATGTCACAAAAACAGGAGAGTAACATTAATGTTGGCCTTTCAGTGATCTAAAATGAGGCAAGATGGGGGCGCCTAGGTGGCTCCGTCGTTAAGTGTCTGCCTTTGGCTCAGGTCATGATGCCAGGGTCCTGGGATCGAGCCCCGCATGAGGCTCTCTGCTTGGCCGTAAGCCTGCTTCTCCCTCTCCCACTCCCCTGCTTGTGTTCCCTTTCTCGCTGTCTCTCTCTCTGTCAAAAAATAAATAAAATCGTAAAAATAAATAAATAAATAAAATGAGGCACTATGAACATCAAAACAAATAATGACTGCAATATATATAGATATATAAAAATGAATACAAAACAAGTTAATAATTACACACACATACACACCTCCTTAGTCACTTTTGGAGGTTGCTAGGGCACTCTCTCATTACTTTGAAAAATGATAAATTAACAGAAAGAATAAAGCATTTATCCTTTTTTGTTTATCCTTAAAATTATACCAGGAAACTAACTAGTATATGGAAGCTATTCACAGAAGAATCTCACCTACCACATGCACTAAAAAAATGTGAGAACATAGCTCTAATGAAAGTATACATCTGGGTAATGATCATCTGTGGATGCTAAAACCATGGCATGAAAGGTTGATGGAGAAATTAGGCTTATGTCTCTGAATCCATGGATAATTTTAACATTAATAAAAATGTGCCAATAGACATTATTTGCTTCTTGATATGATGCAATAAGTAATGCACACCTCCTCCCCATGAAGGAATCTTGCAGAAAGAAAAAAGAAAAAATTGAACCAGAAGTTAATCAAACTTCTAGATCTCACTATCATATTGCCAGATCATGAGGCAATATTGGGGATAAAGGCACAATTTACAAGAAACCAGGGAAGGTCAATCGGCCAAATCCATAATGTTGGACACTCTATAGGACAGATACGTTAGGTTCTCCAAGAAACCAATGACATTTTTTTTTTTAAGATTTTTTATTTATTTATTTGACACAGAGAGAGAGAAAGCACAAGTAGGCAGAGAGGCAGGCAGAGAGAGAGGGAGAAGCAGGCTCTCCACTGAGCAGGGAGCCGGACGTGGGGCTTGATCCCAGGACCCTGGGATCATGACCTGAGCCGAAGGCAGCCGCTTAACCGACTGAGCCACCCAGGCGCCCGAAACCAAGGACATTTTTAAAAGGAGTGGGAGGAGTGCTTTCATAGCTTCTATATGGGATGTAACCAAAAAGCAGCATATCATTAAAAGGTTTTTGTTTGAGTAAGGCCTGTATTTGGACTACTTTTGGTGGTTTTTGAGAATGATTACAACAGAAGGATCTTATGTGCTCTGGGATTGTCCAGTGAGTGATACAGAGCCTTTGGGAATTCTGGGGATTCCTCGTGCTACAGGGAAGCTTGATTTGGTATTTGCTCCCTTTAACTCCCCTGCAGCCAAAGACCTCAGGAGATTGCTCAGCCTACATTCAGGCTATAGCTGTAGCTGTCTGTTCAGGTTGGGTAGGAATTAGAGCCTCTGGAAAACAATTTTCTAATACCCCAAACGTCTGCCATTTTATTTTAATGAGGAAATATATAAAGCTGTCGTAGGTCATCCTGCAGTCTAAGGGAAATTCCTTCTTGCCACAATCAGCCTGAAGACAAGTCACTGCTGTGGTTTTACCAGACAGACTGATTAAAAGGAATGTCTCATTGTGGGACACAAAATGACACAAAAAAGAATGGGCTGGCTTTTAATAAAATAGTCTTTTATTGAAAAAAAAATTACTCGGGACCACCACTCATTCCTCCCCTATGCACACACACTGTCACATGTTGAACCACAGAAACTGCAATGGAGCCTTTAAGATTGCCTGGATCACAGTATCTCCAAGTATACATCCTATCTCTGCCGACAGTCTTGTAGACATTTAGCTAACGATATTATTCAGTAAGAGAATGTCCTCTGGAGTGTCTGTCCTTGTATTATTATAGTAGCTGCACAAGCTTATCTTTATAGGCTTCATGTTTCCAGTAAAATATCGGTCTTGTGATAAAAATAAGCAAAGGTAGAAAAGTACAGCTTGTAGTTTTAAGATATTCTTTGTCTAGATATTCTGTTATAAGTCTAGAATGGAGGCAAGCAAATGTGGGAATCGGATTCATCCCAAATTACTTCTCCCTTCACTCAGTATTCAATTGGTCACCAAGTGTATGTATTCAAGTCTACGCTAATGCTGCTATCTTATTCCAGGAAAATTAATACATTCTCCCAAGTTTCCTTCCTGCCTGTCTGCTCCCTATCCAGTCATCCACACTGATGCCAGAGTAATCTTTCTGGAAAAAAAAAAAAATCGTATTGGGTTACTACTCTTAAAACTCTTCAGTGGTTTCCTATTGGATCTTCATGTTAACTGTCAAAGTTCCTACTGTGCCATTTAAGTCTTCTTACAAGTGGACCATGACATTCCTCTCCAGATTTATCTCCCCCCATTCCACCATCACCTGTAAGCTACAATTCAGTTTGCACTAAATCATGGTCAATTTCCAAAGAATGTCATACTGCTTTGGTTTTTTGTAATGTAGTTAACAAATTTTGTGTATGAGAACCACCCAGGGAGCCAGGCATAAGGCAGGGTCCTATGCCCCATGCCCCGGAGTTTTGATTTAGTGGGTTTGAGTTGGCAGAGATGTACACTACAATGACTCCAGATGATTAGGAGGTATACTTGTGTCATACTTTGAGGAACACTATTTTATGCCAGTGTGAGGTTTTTTTCCTTTGAAATGAATATCGTTCCCTCCTTACTATCCTCTTGATAAGCTGAATCTTCTGGTTGGCACAGCATTCCTTGGCCTACCTCGAGCAGACCTGACCATGTGCCCTGTGGGTTTGCCTGTATCTAGTACAGCTTCCCAGTTGCACTAATACAGCACTTAATTATTCTCCTAGGAGTTTTATTGTTAGGGTGTTCAAGTTTTTCATGCAAAATTGATAGATTATATTTCGATTTTAAAATGGGTTATTATACATATTGCATACTGTATAAACATTAAAAGTATATAAAAGGATAAAAATAAAAATAATCCAGAATTTCAGCACTAGATGTTTATCAACC